AAAAGGACGGAAAGGCGTTCTTTCTACGAAAAAATGCGGATGTTGCAGCACAAACCTCAAAAATGCGTTCTGGTTTTTGTGGTGGCGTGTTTGTTTGAGCAGAAATTGCCAATGGCGTGTCTATTTGCAAAAGGCATTGTTGTTATATAGCCTTTTGCAAAGGCGTTTATTTTTGCCTTCGGAGGTTGTAGGTAAGGGCAATGATTCATGGGAAACTGAAGAATGTCATCATCTCGCAAGGCAAGGGAGAAACAAACTGTGCATCCGTCCATTTCCCTTGACATAAATTCGAACAAGTTGAGAGGACTCTCAAGTTGGAGACTGCAATGAATCACTGCATTTCTGGTTGTTGACATGCACATCAAACAAGAAGATGCAATTACAGTGGTTTCAGAGTAGATGGCACAAACCCCAAGATGTCCTTTAGATGGGGGGTCCATATAAACCACCCATTGAGTTGAGGTCTGTGCCATCTACTCTCAATCCACTATAACAAGCACCTGTTTAACTGTTTGGTTTGGAGGGTCTCCAGAGCTGTGCGTCAGCGTTTCTTGGCGAGAAAGTCCTCGCTATCTGCTTGCAGGTCAAGCACTACATGATGCCCACCCTGGCAATGCAAAGAGGCTTCTCAAATGTCAGAGTTGATAAGCCAATCTTGTCTTTTCTGAGTGCTTTCAAGAGCCAACTCCAACCATTCCGCTTGACCTTCAAATCAACCTGCTGAGCCAAAACTCGAGCTGTTTCCACATGCTTTCGCCCCTCTCATGCGTCCGTGTCCGATCATCCGATAAGAATGCAGCTCTCTGTCTTCTTCGACCAACTGACCCGTCAAAGATTGTAGACCAGACCTGCGTATCGAAGCTTCGCAGACTTTCAGGGAGGTCTGCAGACAGGAAGAGCCGCCTGGAGCAAATCCGTTTTCGGCCGACGGCGGCCTAGCTTTTGTGTGGGAACGTGGGAAACCACTTGATCGAAACCTTGCCCCCCACCCAAAAAATTACATAAATAAAATACTGGTGAAACAGATACAATCATAACATATCATGACACTATTATGTAAGGATAAAACACAAACCGTAGAAGGAAAACGAGTCATTAAGACAAAACAAACAACTCCCTAAAACTCATAGGTGACACATACGGCCACCAAAAGAACCACAAAAAAAAGGCCGAAGGTTCTATCTCTGGTTGCCATTTGGCAGTCTTTTGTTTGTCTTTGCTCTTCTTTAGTTTGGCACAGATTCTGTTCAATATGTTTTCCCTAATGTTGCTCTGCTTATTGTTGCAGGTTCTTCCCATTAGCGAGCATCCCTCAGAATCGCTCTGTCTTTTCACTGTGGTAAGTTGTTTTTCTGGCGCAAGGTTTCACCACACTTGCCCAGACAGTCTCTTCTTCACTCATGATGTGGTTCAGAAGGAGAAACATGGATGAATGCAACTCGCAAGGAAGAGTCGGTGTGGTGGCTGGATCGCAAGGCCTAAGGCGGCCTAAGGTTTCTTTCTTCTTGGGAGGTCCTTCCAGAGTCCTTCCCTCCCCATTCGAGATCGAGCCCAGACACCCGGATTGCCGGCGCTCCGCTGCAAAGCGCAGTGAGGCCGTAGACCTCGCAGTGTCGGGTATGTCGCGGTGTGCCTTGTGTCAAACTAGAAGACAACAAAACCCTTGAAATTGGGCTTCTATCACTTGATGTGGGATCATATATGATCATATGTATTCATATGTCATGTAATTACAAGTACTGCAGAGTCTCAACCAGAACCAAAAGCATAAAAATGCATAGAAACCAAATACCTATCTGAGAACTCGCTGGGAGCCGGACGACGCTGAGGGCGTTGGCAGGGAGGCGGGATGTTCCGCCTGAGTGGTTTCCGAAATGAGTAGATGGTGAGTAGATTCTCCTGGGAGTTGATCAAAGTTTCCGAAAGTAAAATCCACAAGAACAGGAACCTCTCAATACAGTGGCCTCCTCGACAGTGGCCAGAAAGGAAGCAGTCGCAGTGCCGGTCGCCAGCGACCCAAACTCAAATTTGAGAAACCACTGTCCTCCAAGGAATGGGAAATGGCATTTGCTGGCACTCCACATGGCAATGGCATGCCCAAGAATGGTTTCTAATTAGTCAAACAAAGGCCGCATGCCATGCAGCACTGCGGTGGTGAAGCGAAAATCGAGTCCTGAGTCTTCTTGAACCTCAGAAGCTCACGGCGTTTTTCACAAGCTCACGGCGTCTCAAATCGGAAAACTTTTTGGTAGGAAATTATGGGAGTGTGTAGCTCAAACAGGGAAACCTCCCAGGGAACGACCCCAAACAGGGAGAATAGACCAAAACCCATTGGGGCAAAGGGTCTCCCTATCAAAACACACCCATATGAAACCACCATGTGGGTACGCAGCCCCACGAACGCCCGTTTTTGCCCGCAAACCGTTGCATTTTCCCCCTGCAACAGCCTTGCGACAGCTGCAGCCAGGTCGCCACAGAGCAGGTGTCCCTTCGCAGCGACACCAAGCTCCGCACCAAGGGTGCAGTCTTCAGTGCACCTCCTTCCCTGGCGCTCCTCAGCGCAAAGATGTGAGAAAGGTCCGAATGATCGTTGATCGTTCTCACGCCAAACTACCATGGACGAATGGAAAAGCAATGAAAAGCAGTTCCAAAGTGACTCGGATTTCATTCAAAAGATGTTCTTTGCACGCCATGACTTTGATCCACTCGATGCCAAGCCACGGCTGAGGCCCTGCGGACTGGGCGCTCTGTGGACTGGGCGTGGCGGGGGCGTGGGTGAAAAAAGAACCTCCAAAGGTCAAAGGTCGTAAAAAGAAGAGTCCTGGAATGCACAAATACGATGTTATTTAAAAAAAAAAACATAAATAAATATATGTTATATATGTATATATATATAGCACTAGTTGGGAAGGACGCCACCAGGCGCCTGGTCGTTTCGGGGTTGCAGTCGTTCACCCCCTCAGGCTGCGGCGTTCACATGCGCACCTTGTTTTTGGCACTTTCGAAAACTACTTTGTGTTCCGCACTTTGGAGAGCGCTTTCACGTTCTCCGCCGGTGTTCCACGCAACTTCTCACGTCGAAACACCCATTGCCACACACTGTGCTCTTTTCTGATGCGCACAATGGAAGCACTTGATTTTCAATTTTGCAGCGGCCTTGTCCCACGCCCTGGCGCCGTGTGCGTACAACGCGGTCTGGGGCGCCACTTCATGCCAAAAAACAACAGGCGCCCAGCAGCGACGATGGCAACTAATTACACATATATATATATACATATTTTGTTGGTTTGTCTTTTATGACTTTTGACTCCTGTAGGCTCAAAGAGAGTTTGGAGAACTATAACTGTAAATGACTAGACTGCAATCAGCAGAATTGGGCATGGTCATGCTATTTTCTGGCTCAGTACTAAAGAAATTCTGCTTTTCCAAGCTACAACTCAAGCGCTCAAGTTGAGCATGCCGAGTAATCTACATTCCTTCAACTTCCATGACCTCCAAGCTTGAGAATAATTATCTTTTTCCACTGGTTGATCTGGGTGTGGACCACCATCTTGTTGAACAGCTGTGCTGCTGCCAGCTTTTACTGTCTTCACCAAGAAGCTTCTGATCTGTCGGAATGTATGGTGGGCTCGGCGGAGCCACCTGATGGGCGAAGTCGTCTTCAAGCAAGCTCAAGCAAGTTCGAATGTCAGGAACCCTGGAAATCAACTTGTACGAACCAAGGGCCGAAGGGGCCTTTGTGCAAAAGAGTAACCATACCTTGAGCGTTCACACACCCCTGATACCCATTAAATATGACCCCGACAAAGCCTGCTCTTCAAAGCAGCCTCATCTGTGGGGGTCCGCAAATCATTACACGTTTAACAGACTAACAACAATTCGAATCATTACAGTAACACGTTATCAAGGAAACCTCTCAAACGGAAGGGCCCCCCCGTGGAAATCCGAGATGAAAAAATCAAAACCATTGGTGAGTGCAGAAAAATAACATCAAGAAAACGCGACCCCAGAGAAGTGGTGTGGAAAAGAGAGATATGACAGGCACCACAAAAAAAAGGTATGAATCCTATTTAGACTTGCCTGGGATTGGTGACGAAAGTAAGCTACCATGCATATATTGAGACTTATTATGTCCAAGGGGAAAGTTGAACCCGCGGAGGGGTGGGTCTAGCAGTGGATACTTCACTGTGTAGCCGATTCCATCCCTCAGCCAATAACTTGCTAGAGCAAGTTCCTGAAAAGATTGCATCGACTCATGTTAGCAGTTCAGTTTCACCTGCTGTGATCCACATCTAACATCTAACATCCGATCCACTGCGTTCCAAATCGTCTGCCGCCTGCGGAGGTTCCCGAGGTAGCGCTGCAGAGGAGGCACAACCCATCAGGGAAGGCCGCGCTAGCCGGGCCGAGGCGCAGGGCTCTCGTGCCCAGTGGAGCGCTGTCGGGCTCGCGTTCTTGAGCCGTGAAGAACAGCGGATGGAGGCGCTAGGCGCTACTGCTGTCGCCACCTTCCGAACAGGTATGGATACTAGGATGTACTAAATCCAGTATGCGGAAGATGCTTTTGATTCAGGGAAGAACGTGCAGTCACAATATGAATTGTTTGGTACTGTATATAATCATGTGTCTTAATGGCCAACAAACACATCTTCAGACTGCCCAAAAATTGCTATGGAAATAGGGAAAATACCTTGCTTTTGTTCCATGGCCTGTCATTGACATATATGTTATCACACAATCACTACTGAACCAAACGTGCACTGTACAGGAATTAAGGTTCATGATATGAGTACAATAGCGTGATACTTGTAACCAACTGTAGGGGAATGATTTGACATATCAACTGGGGGAATTGTGCAATAGTCTCAGCCATTCTTAAGTGGCTGTGGATTAGAAAGAACCACTGAATTTTGTTCATCTAGCCCATCTAGCCCGTCTTCCCTTCTCAGTCATTCTTTGAAAAGGGTCCTGATCATCGGCATCCGCATCTGATCGGCTCTTTTGTGACTCTTTTGTCAAGTCAATTTCGGACAGGCGCCTTGCGACCTGCCACATGTCGAAAAGTCAAAGACATCAGGGATGCCCGTGTGCGATTCCCGCAAAAGGACGTCAACTTCAGGAAATCCATGGAACTCCTGTATGCTTGCTGAGATTCCTCATGGTCAACGTCCACAAGAGACTCACAGGTGGTCTTGACCGCAACTCCCATGATATGCAGCAGCAACACACATCTAAATACACGCCCATCCAGGCCTAGCAGTGGCACATGTGCTGAAGCAAGGCTGATCTCGGAGGTCGTCCTGAACTACTATAAGTGTTGATAGTGAGTGGATTGAGATTGATCAGTGGGAACTCTTTCTCCCACGACCTGTGATTGGCCTGACATGGATTATCATAGAAGAAGATTTACTTGGACTTGGACTGTCCACTATTAAAAACAACTGTTGGTTGAGATAAGCTGAGCTTGTCCAAGCTATATACAGTAATCATATATAAATATCCCCATTCAACTCTCCTGTTGCCATTCCACGGGCTTCTTGCCGAAGACCATGGTGCAACTGAGGTCCTTCATGCTGACAAAGCAAGGCAATGTAGCAAGTGTTCATACAACCGAAGGCAGGAAGTTTGCAAAACAAGATTGCAAAGCGCTTTGCAAGATCCTCCATGTTCGGCTCCATGGACAGCGGCATGCCCAAAACCTGTTCCGTGTCAGTCAGTGGCCACCAAAACATGCACAAACAAGAAGTGTCAGTCGTGGCGCTGTGGCTGCTTTGAGGCAGAGTGCATTCGATCATGAAGCTTTCTTTTCACCGCCTCGCCAAACATTCGTTGCATAGGCCGCTTGCACAAACCAACACCTGATATAGCGCGAGGAATAAAAGGAGCTAACATGGTCGACGCTCGACGCCTCGCAACATGATCGTCGCCCGAGATCTGAACATGGCATAGATAACATGGCAAATAACATAGATAACATGGTTGTTAGACGAATGTCTGCACCTTTCCAGTATCTGCACGAATCGTGGGTGTTTGTTTGCACGAGCTTTCTGAAGGTCTGCCCGCTTCATGGCCACCCAAAGCTTTTGAGAGACCGGCACATGCCCACACATCCACTCCTGAGAGGCACCGGGCGGAAGCCTTTTCCCTTTTGGGGCACGAGTCGGTGAGGCGCCGCTCCCCCAAGGCGTTGGTGAGGTGAGACCAGTGACTACCGTAGCGGTAGTCCCTGATTGTCTGTTGAGGTCCAGGAAGGATGCAGGACTCACGTCATAGACCAGAGTGTCTATATATGTTTTCCTTATTGCTGGACCTAGTGCACGAAAAGCAAACCAACGCTTGATCCTAGAATGCTGGCATAAACATTACAAAGGCATGGGTTGAATGCATGGGTTCGTTCCAACTGGCTGCAAAACAAACTCTAACAGGGAGAGCGACTGCTGGGTCTGACTTGCTTCAGTACCTGCTGATAATTGCTGATATATCAGGTAAAGCAGCGGAAAGTCAGAAACTTGTGCCAAGTCTCTTTTCCAACCATCGGCACTTTTCGATCTTCACCGCACAATTCCAAGCCTGCGAGCCGCTAGCCGTCTCTACCCAGTTTGTTTTTGAGTCTCAAGATGTTTACCGAGTTACATTTAGGCGTTGTACTTTGTGTGTGTTGCGCTGCTGTGATTGGCCTCGCACGCCGTTGTATGCCATGAAGATCTGTTTCAGGGCATTGTTGAGTTGGGTAAATCAACGAATCCTGTTTGCCACAGAATCCTGAAAAAGCACTGGCCTCTCCCTCTGGTATTTGTGCAAGATCCTGACATGCTCTGGCACAGCATGGCATGGCAACTTTATTTTATACTCTAAAAACTTCCAGATCACGAGGGCTGCGACTGGACAAAGCCCCTGTATATGCAAAATTATTGTAGCCAGGACATTCCTTGAGACCCTTTTGAGTAAAAACCCTGGATTGCCGAAGGTTGGAGATGTGTGTAGAGATGTCATATGATTTCATGGTATAATTTCACACCCCAAGCGTTCCAACAGTGGTGGCTTTTTGGCGGATGCTCCATATGGCCGGTTCCACGTCGCCCAACATCCCCGTCCTCTTGACTTCTCGCTTCCACCTGCAGAGACGGCGTAGAACCGCGCAGACTGACCATCTCATGCTTCAATTTTGGGCCATGTTTGTCAGACAGTATGGATTGATCAAATTCCCATAGATTGCCAGCTAAGTAGTACAATGTTAAACATTACATACTTGAAACATGTGATTTTTTCACACGGTCAAGGGAACGAGGCTTCTGGTCACTTCCAACGAAGCTTTAGAACCCCCAATATCTGGCACTTCCTCTTTGGTCGCTCCAAGGTGCCACCCGCACGTCCGGATGAAAACATGCGGCCATGCGTCTATGGGACCGTGGCGATGCCTCCCCTCTCTCCGGCCTCACACTTGCCCACCATGAAAGGAAAAAAGGCCTCAGAGGTTTGATAAGTGAAGAACGTTGTGAAGAACATGAACATGGCGCTCATTGAATGCTTCAACTTATGAAGCTGCAAGAAAATTACAGTAATAGCTTGATGATTTCGGTTGATCAATCTCAACACTTGTCGTGCATTTCGCTCCACTCTGGCCGCGAACTGCGGTGATCCAGGCATTCAGCTCTGTGCCAAACCTCGCGCTGAAGTGGCTGGACACATCATCGATGGTATAATGGTCTAAATATTTACGATAGAAGGCTGATAATTGTTTGGGATATTTAGCATTACTTGTATGTATATATTGTTTAATCAGTCTCACTGCACCATTTTATCATTAGCATTAGCCAATGTTTCATTGGTGATACGCGGCAAGCGGTTTGAGGGCGAGCACGGATGGAAAAGAAAGCACCCTGTAGGCCCTGTAGTGATCCTTACCGGAAAGACTCACTTTGCGAGGCAGACCCTGATGTTCTTGCCTCCTAGGTGATCACGTGGCCTTCTTAAGAAGACCCTGAAAAGAACAGAGCTGCTCCAATAGATCAGAAGATGAAGCAGGAGGGAAACCAACTGTAGGAACCAAGCACAAAGTCATGAGTCAAAGGAAATAAAGGAAGGACCAAGAAACATATTAAAGATGGTACAACAACAACAACAACCACCACAACAAAGACAAAGAAAATAATCAAAAAAGAATCGAACCACATATTATATTGTATATAACCACTCCCACCCTTAGAACTGGTTGCATAAACAAAGCCAAGCAGCTTGTCAGCTTTCAAGGCTGATCGGAAGCGTGCCTGCGAGTCAGCTCTTTTGAGTATTCAGGGGCCCGGACGGAAGAAATCCTGCACCGCCTTTGTGAAGATTATGTGAGGATTATGTGAGGATCGTATCAATTATACCCTCGTGCTCCTTCTTTAACATTCATCCGGCATCACAACCCACAAAAGTCCGGTTGATGAACATCCTGCCCGCCTGCCTCCATGACACAACAACATTGAATGGAACTGTGGGGCTGATGGTCTGTCAGGTGTAGCTACCAAGATTACAATGGTGAAAGTGGTTCAGCCTTTGTCTGCCCACCCGCCTCTCCAAACGAAATCACAGTAGCCGTTTTGCAGAATTTGTATCCATCAGGCAGCTTGTGAAGAATCATAGACTATACATGGCTAGAATAGACGAATTATTCGACTGGCAAAGACCTCTTGCCGACAGGCGTCTTGAAGTGGGTACACCTAGTGAGTCCTGATTTGGTTTGTCACCTGACCAGTCAACCCTACTGTGCAAGGCTGCGTGATTAGTGACTGCATGGCAGTCCACGGCAGTCTCTCTGCAAGCGAATTTCGGAATCGCCAAATTCCTTAAGATCACTTTTGGACATCTCAAGGTCCAAACGATTTCCGTCGTTAGCGATGTACAATCAATTTACCAGCATGTGCAAATGAAGTTGCCCTTCAGGCACCACCCATAGCTGCCTTGGAGTGTGGCTTGGTGCTACAATCTATTGACTATCAAAACAATCTGTAATTAAATTAAACAAGAGCAGTTCAGACAGGCCTCAGTCAACTATAAAAAAAGAATCCATCCAATCCAAATCTTCCTAAAGTATCCTAAATCAGCTACGGCAGCTATGAAGTAAGAACTCGTGGTATACGCAGGGTAGGGCCAGCACTTTCTGCAAACGAAGATCTGCTGCCTCTTGTGCAGTCTCCTTGTCGGGAGTCCTGATGGCAGCAAGCGAAATGAAACGGTCCACCAAAGCCCAACAAGAGAAAACTCATCTATGCGCACGGAACTGGATGAGACCATCAGTCCTTGGAAAAGAGTTCGCGTGGGACAAGTGCGGTAGGAATGCCTCTCAATCTGAAAGGCCGTTGTGGACAAATGAAGTGCGAGAAGTGCAAGTTGAATCAAATATATATATATATATAATATATATATATCGAGATTATATAATCAACCCTTCTAAGAACCGACGTGCAAGGCTGCAGTGAGCCATTGTCAGAGGTATATACATAATATAATATCAAATATAACATACTTTACTTGGTTATGTATGAAATTATGTCAATAACATAACATACTATGTATAATAACACGCATGTCAGACTGTGAAGGGGCCTCCATTGCGAAACATGGCTACATTGATCCAGAATGTATGGATCTATGTTGGATTTCTCCGCAAGAGGAACAAGGCTACTAGGAACAAACGGCATCGCTACTAGGAACAAGAACGCTACTAGGGGCTCCTGGCCTTACTACTAGGAGCAAGGACGCTACGAACGGGGCTCCAGTCCAACGATCGTCGTGTGTCATGGCCTTGTCGGCGTTGCTGGCGAACGAGGGCACGTGAAAAACGGCCCGAGCTGACTTGGCCTGATGACAACAGTGATCTCCAAGGAACACGCGACTGGCGTTGGGGGTGGAAGACGTTTCTGAGCGTTCTGTTTTTGCGATTCCTAGCTGCGTTTCTAAGTGCTCTGGCTGCTGTTGCGAAGTGGTCAGTGACAGTGTGTGTGTGTGTACGTATTTCGGCCTCCACCACAAATTGTTCCAACATCATCTCCTGTCAGTGAAAATCCAAGCAGTCTCTACCAGTGAGATCAGCTGACGGCTTTCAAAGGATAACCTCTACCAATAAGATGACCTGTTTCATCTGTTTCCTTATGACTCCAACAGGAGAACGCCTGTGCTGCTGGATCTGGGTCGAGTCCATTCAGAACCTGCGGCAAAGGCACACTCCACAAGTCTTGCCAGAACGAAACCATGAGACTCATATTGCATGCAGGTTTGCCACTATTGAAGTACCCTCCCACAAAACGCCTGGACCACGTACTTGCGAAATGTCCTGTACCTTAGTTCAACACAAAAAGCATCGATAAACTCGCCACCCGGATACCTTTGTTGCACAAAAAAGAAAGATTGTGTTTAATGGCCAGAAATATGGCAAGAGGACGTTGATAAACTCGCTCTTGCCATCAACGTCCAGCAAAGATCTGATTGGGCTCGAGGACTCGACGAATTTTGGGCTCGACTCCACTGGGCTGCCAGCGGGACAGGTCTCCCCAAGGGATCCAAGCGCTCTTTGAAGAGTTGTTGGTACCTTGACTGGGTTGCTTCTTCAAGATCACACCCGGTCCGGTCTAGTGTGCTTCTCCGACCATACCCAACCACTGCCAGGGTGCCTGCATGCCTAAATTGATGGGTTCTCAGTGTTAGCACTATTGATTACACATCCAATCTCGTCCAGTTCCAGTCCAATCAAAAGTGGGATCGCGGGCCTGGCTTTCACTGCCGACAGATTTGTGTCCCTCCCATGGTGCAGCAAAGCGACCTGCGATCGGAGGAAATCATCAAACCCGATAGCTCTGGTAGCTCTGCGCTTCTCCAACCACACCGGTGACCACCGTGCGCCAAGAGTTCAGACCAATCAGAGAAGAAGTTGTGGGGTCACCGGGATGTTGAATGTTACAGGTCTCTTTTCAGAAACCGAGAAGGAACATGAAGCCTGAATTTTTTTGTCTATCTACTTTAGCGAAACGGAGAACCTGGGAACCTTGGGACTTCTGCTATGTCCTCCTCATGTTGAGAGTTGTTCATATCTACGTAACCATCGGCATCCTCATGTTGAGACTACAGAATGTTTGACGATCTGAAGATCCATGTCGTGATGTCCAACTAATGAGGGGATGCTCCCAACCAGTCGAGGTCAATGTCAGACTGTCAGACCCATGGCGCTGTCGGGGAAAAAGAAACACGTGGGTCCACCAGAGCGCTGTTAGGTGTCAAGATATCTTCTGAAAATGGGTCATCTATGGTAAACACGGTGTGGTTCAAATGGGTGGGCGATGCAAAACCCCCGCAGTTGGAGCTCGACCGAAGGCTGGAAGGCTTCAACCAAAGCACTGAAGGCAACACGTTCATACATATTACTTGCATTTTTTCGGCTGCAAGGTTGTATCAATTGTGGCCATAAGGTGTGCTACTGCTTCTTTATCTAGAAATCCCACCCCGAAGTGTTTTTGGTGCTCGGTGCACAGGTTTCTGTGCCCCTGCAACAGTGGAATTGCCTGCCGAGATCCCAGCTCGAAGTGTCTTTGGTGCTCGGTGCATGCCTGGAACAATGGAGCTCTGTGCCCCAACAGTGGAATTCCTGCCAGAACCTTGATTTTTTTATTCCGTTCAGGAGTGGCGTTTGGCGGCAGAGGGACGGCAGGAGGCTGTTTCGTCACGCCGTGCCAGGGTGTTTTCCTGATTCGAAGGGTGTCTTGTGGCTTGGCTTGTGTGCCTGGAACAATTGCCTGCCAGACCCTTGATTTTTTCATTCGGTTCAGGAGTGACGTTTGGCCCGGGCAGAGGGACGGCAGGAGGCTGTTTCGTCACGCCGCGCCAGGGTGTTTTCCTGATTTGAAGGGTGTCT